CTGGGAATTTTTGGTGGGCATTGGGCAGGAGCTGGTGCATTGAAAATATGTCAGTCAATTTGCAAAGTAGGATTCTATGTATGGAGCTAAATGCCCGTGAATGCAATTTGCATTAACACTATATGCGCCCTTTTGGATGGAATATGTAGCATGGAATATATAGCAGTACAGCAGGACACATCATTGTAAGTATCAGTAAGTATCATACATGCAAATGCAGCCTTTGAATATTTTATTTTGAGGAGATGGACAAGCTAGGCAGGCATGTAACAAACCATAAATTACAAGGAATCTTCAGTATGCAGTTTCACAGACAGTTTGACATCAGCAGCAGCAAATTTGCACATCTTGTGGACAAGATACTCAGCAGTGAGGTTGGAATAGCCTTGCATGCTAACGCATTTGACTCAAGGAAAGGCTTCAATCCATGAAGCAGATAACTCCTGGAGCTACAGTTATTAGGTATTGAAATAGCACTTAACAAACACATACCAATGCATCTCCTGCCAAAGTGGAGCATGAGCCTACAATGTCCAAAAAAATCCCCAAGTGTTTAACATGAATTGCTGACTGGGTACCTGGGTAAATCATTGCTGAATGGGAATGACTCTGCGGAGGCAGGGAAAGGTCAAGGTAACCAATGCTATTGCAATAGCCAACACATTGAAGGATGGCAGTAAGGTAGTTAGGTGAAGCATCATTGGCTTGCAACGAGAGAGCAAGGCAGGAGAGGGTGGGTGGTTTATGGTGACTCTGAAGGACTGGGAGGACATGAGACAAAGGGCCATCTAGCATAGATACCAATAATGCTAAAAAAGGGGTGACTCAATGAGTCCTCCAGAGGCAACCAGGTCGCAGAATGATACTGAGGTCTTAGACACTGGGGTGACAGGCCAGAAAGCGATTGAGTGTGGATGGAGCACAATCAGCATCCACTCAAAGTTTGATGAGCATTGGGATGGTCAAGTGCTGTAGCAGTTTGTCCCAGTGTGAAGGACTGAGTTTGATGGAACTGAGTTGGAGCCTTTCCAAAGAGGAAAAGTGAATGGTCTGGATTGTGAAAGAAAGGAGTTCAGGGGAAAATAATGCTTGTGATGACGCATCAAAGGTTCTGAGGTGGTTCACACCCACATCCCCCTGAATTCTGGTGAGTCCAGTGACAGATGATGCATATGGGCCAACGCGGCCATGGAGTGACATGCATGTCATATCCTCACAGCCAGAGGTGCAGATGTTCTCAAGGACTGTGATGATCTGAGGGAGAACTGAGCAAGTGAGAATGTCAAAATTCCAGAAAAGTGTTATATATTGTATGGATTTATGGGGGACAGACTGGAGAAAGTATGAAAATGCAGAGAGTTGTGTGGACCGCAGATCAGAATCCAACCAACACAACATCATATGTGGAGGACAAAAGGTATCCATATGTATCCAAGTAGAATGTCAAAATTGTGTGAGTCTATATGGATGTGAAACATGTCCTGAAGTGAAGTTGGGAAGTTCTGGTTGATGAAGAAGAGGGGACCAGCGATTTCTCTAAACAGAGAACAAATTTGAGTAACACAGTGCAAATCTTCCACTCCTAAAAGAATGACAATAGCAATGAGAATTTCAGCAGGTAGGGACCATATGAATGCCAGGGCATGACAAGGCTCATAAAGTATGATGCATGTTATTGAAAAGGGATCTAGTTTAGCATCCGCTTTATGCTTCAGGAAGATATCAGACTAGGGTCAAGATCAGTGGATGCAAATATATTATGAGGTTTTTCCATACCACCTCCCTGTACAAGCGCTTGGCCAAGGGGTTTGTAAAGTCAGTGTTGTGACAATGTATCATTTGAGGCTTAAACTGGATCAAATACTGATGCGCAAGGTTAGAAATTAAGATGTACTGCAAGAACAACCTGGCTTATGTCACTGGTAGAATAAGATTCCAGGAGGCGTTGCTTTCACAGGGATAGCCAGTCATCATTAGAATCAAATTTACACTTCAGGGGTGCCTTTGCCATAGTGCCAATGTCCTATAAATCATCAGTTAGCAGGTGCCTATGTGTGTGTGAGGGCCTCACTGTGCCAGAGAGGGTACTAGTTGCCGACAAGGAGTCCTGGGACTATGTATAAGGAATTGTAAGTCACAACCAAATGGAATGAATATAAGGAGCATACCTCCTGGAAAACAGATTTCCAACCAGAAATGTGACTTAACAAGTTTCCCATTGCAAAAATACCTAAAAGGATTGAAGAGGACCTCACTTTAAGTTGCTTGAAGTGATTGTTCTGAAGAAGCTTGTTGTTTGGTCGTGAAAATTGTTCAGTAGGCCTTTTTAATTAAACAGGGGATAAACCAGAAATGTTTCATTGCCAAGGGAATACAATTGATGAGCTATGGGATAAAATTCTAGATGGGCTAAATGCATACCATAGGACTTGATTTAAAAGTTACACAAATTTCATAATCCTGCAACTCACGTATGCTGTCTACACTGACATCACCTTGCAGTAAACCCTGCAGTAAACCCACTAAAGTCCATAGCAAACACTACGATCCATATGTTCGGCCCTTGCCACCCATGGAGGCGTCAAGGAATACAAAACTGAAATCAATCACAGCACCTCTGATGAGGAGGTTTGCCATGTATTTCAATGAGTATGATGTTTGTCCAGGACAGGAGATGGTAAATGAAGTTAGTGTGATCTGATGAAGAAATGACTCAACTGATCCTTCCCAGCTAAACACACAGCTCATGTGGATGGGATCCACCATGTCCATTGACGGACCCAAATCACCCAGTGGGCCATTGGGAAGTGCACAAGATGTTTCAATCCAAAGCCTTGATGTAGTGGGTGATGAGGTTAGTAACATAGTCTTACAGATAGGCTTGTGGACTTACTGTGTTCAAGACATTTCCAGCACAGATCTCGATGGCCAACATTGCCAGTGACACCAGCAGCAGTCAGAATGTGGGGCACCTTTCTTTGAAGAAAAGAGAACTTGTTTGCAGCCTAAAGAAGGCAATAAACAAATATTTTTGCCATCATTGTGAAGGGGGGCATCCAACAACTGACCTATTATGCGAGCACATCTATGTGGCACTCGAGGGTGCATTGTTAGGTATGGAAGTGGATGATATTATGAAGTGTGGATTGTTTTCCCTCAGAACAATTCCAAGTGCAAAACCACATCTGTTAATTGGTGGGTGAGGTGGCACCCTTGCTGGAATGCTGGGAGGATATCTGACAGAGTGAGACAATGTACTAGATTTTTGTGACCAATATGTACATAACAACTATCTATCTATCTATTAACATTCAAATCAGAAGAAAAGTGCAGGAGATGAAAAGGACGTGCTTAATATAGTGAACAACTGCAACATAAAACTCTGCTGATCGCATCAGCACCCACTCATCATAAACTTGCCAGATCAAGTCACCTATGTCTGTTACAGTGCCCCACTCTTTTTCTCATCATCACTGCGGACTCCTATATGGCTGTACTTCTAACGCTTCCTTTTCACTGTGCTGTTTCCTCATGGTCTCCCTTATCTTTGACTCATACCCTGTTTTCCCATGAACCTTCCTTTTTCAGTAGTCATTACCCTTTGCCCAGCCTGGTCTGTGCATGATTCTCTTACGTATATAAACCTTAGTTACCACTTGTATCTTCTCTAACTTGAATCTACTTGGTTCTCTCTGATACTTGAACTCTAGCTCCTTGGGAAGGAGGCTAGCCATTGTCCCATTTGAACCTTAGATCCTGCGGGAGTCTAAGTGATCACTCCTGAGGGAGGCGTTGACTCAATAAGGCTTAGCCCTTGATTGACCTTGATCTTGATTCCTTTATTGGAACGATGCTCTATCCGAGTTCATAACAATGTCATATTAGAAGTACAATTGAAACTACATGAGTTGGGTGGAAGTACATAGGTACAAGGCAGTAAATATGGTGGATGCAAGGGGGTACAAGGTGGCACATACAAGGAGGCACTATATGCTATCAGTACACATACAAACAGCAGCTATATGATCACTAGCAGGAAAGAATAATTTCCATTCTCTGAAGCTTCTTGTCAGATACTGTGAATGAAGAAGATTGGGCATTCAACCATGACTCATTGTATAATGCCCTTGGTAAGCCTTCGATTGCTGGGTGAGAAGACTCTTGGATCGCATTGCGAAAATGCTTTGCAGGTTTGCTTCCACAGGGAGTGAAGTTTGCGGCACCTGCCAACTGCTGTTGATCAATGATATGCATCTCATGATCAACGTCTGCTCTCCATGGCATTTTCTTCAGATGAAACACCTGAACTTTGCCATCTTCGTGCTCACTCTTGTCAGAGCTCATGCCATCTTTGCCGAGAGTCTCCACAAGGGATTGTAGATATGCCCATACAGCCTGGTCATCCTTTCCAGTCACTATCCTGTCACTTAGCAGGGTCGATGTGACTTTTTTATGAGTTTTGAACTTCTAGAAAGCAACTTAGCACTCTTCAAGCCAATCAGAAAGATGACTAACCATCACCCTGCAAGTGAGGACCCTTGTGACCCACAATCACTTGTTGGTCTGATCCACGAGTCAGTCCCCTACTTCTTGCATAGTCTCATGAGTGCCATTGCTGAGCACACGAAACTGGGCTTTTCTCCAGAAACTGCGGCATTGATTAAATTTCTTTGTAATATCGTTTTTGATGGACTGATGAGATCTTGAGACCAATTGGTTCGTCTCAAATGTGCAAGTATACTGAGAACACAGAATATCAATTACTCTTTGGTTCCACTTGGAGTTGTGTGTGGTCGTCATATCCCAGTGCAGTTTGAGAGGGTCAGGGCCCATACCCAGTCCTTGCGTAAAGCACAATATGGCTTCACTCAATGCAGTGACATAAAGCATATACTCATCATCTTTCATGAAATGGAATGCTGTGTAAAATAGTTCCCAAACATTGGCCTGGCTTTTCATTAGCAATATCAATTGTGTTGGGAAAAACATACCTTATTATTTCAGCACTGGGCATCAGTAAAATTCTCAATATGGGTCTCATGGGTTTTGAGTTTGGATTGAGCTGCCCTTGGGGATGCTGTCTGCTGTAGAACCTTTGCGAGTGCCTCAACAAGCATGCCAATGGTGGCATTCTGGATTGGAACATCACTTAATAGCAAAGTCAGGGGAGGCACAGCCCCCCTGATACAAGTCTGAGAACCCTCATCTCTATCAGAATCTGAACTTGTGTCAGGAATCTGAGGCATGGGTGATGTTAGACTAAATAGAGGTGTGCAATAGAGACATGAGCTTACTATTGAAAACCCAACAATATTTGTGCATGTGGCAACAGGTCTTTTGCCTACAACATGATGCCATGAAGGGAGGGAGGGAGAGGAACTTGTGATGTTTGCTTGTCACATCTGGCTCTGTATATATATCAGGAAAGCTCCACATACAAACATGTCGATATGCACATCCAATGAAGCTATCTTGCTGCTATACCTGGCAGCAAGGTGGGCTAACTCAACTTCTTTCTTGGCCAACAATTTCTTTTTTGCCATGTTAACTTCATACTGAAAGAAAGCGTCTTGTTTAGCTAATAGGATATCTCATTCTGTGTGCACCTCCTGTTGTGCTTCACGTATACCCAATGCCATTCAATTCTGGCACAGAAAGTCAGGATATCAACATCATGGGGACAGAACCCTACCTGGAAGTCAGTGAGTTCATTATGATGATTCTCATTCAATGATGCGAGGGCATCAGCTTTGCCATGCTCAAGAACTTCCTGATGTTCTTGATACTGCATGATGATGGATCGCAAATTCGATTCTTGTGAGTTGGCATTGGTCTGAAAGTTAGTTAAGTATGAATACAGGAGATATTTAATGAGTGTACCTGTATTTGCTGCTTGCAGAGCAAAAGATTGGGCTTGGAGAAGTTTAACTCACACACATCATCCCACAGTCTGGACAACTGATTGACTTCTTTGAGGAATATTTTATTTGGCTGAACATTTGTTAGCTCAGAAAAGCAATGAAGTACACAATGACCCACTGGCTGGTCATTGTCATCTCTCTTCCTATGAGCAATTCCCCAGGGGTTATCAAATAAATCCATCCCAAACTCTTTGCCAAGCAATGTAGCAGGTGATGGTGGTGATGTACGAGGATCTAAACTGGCAGAGATAACAGGCCAGGGGGGATACATATGCAGGGCCACTGCTGGACAAAGCTTGTTAAGGGGGTAAGACTCTACAGCTGGGGTGGTGGGATCATCGTCTGCACCATCCAAGAAGAGATAAGACGTTAGGTGGGACATCTTGCAATTCAAATCATTCAGTAGTGCGAATTTTATCTGAAGAGAGCTTACCAAATGTCAATGGTTGCGTTGCAGTGACCAAATGTGACTACAATGTTGTTAAACTCTATTAATAATGTACAAGCGAGTCATATTACAGTCATAGTGCATTAGTATTAGGTATCAGCCATTTCAAATTGTTCTTCGATTATCACCAAAGCTACATTATGCATTCATAGGTTATTTGTGTACTGTAGTCTTTTGTCACTGCTTCGCAGCAGTGTTTGTCAGCTGCATCTGAATTATATCTCCAATTGGCCAACAGCCATCATAATCATTGAGTTCCAAAAAGTGAGATAGGACCTCAAACGAAGTTAGCATCAAACAGATATAGAAATTCTAGACGTACCTCTGTCTGGACTGCAATTATTGCAGAAGGGGTTTGATATGTCTTGCTCTTGCTAGTGTCACAGTGTTTCTGGATTGAAGCATGAATGCACTCCTAATGTCATTAGTTTCAAGGAGATCTTATTACTTAAGTGCCAGCTCACCTTGAACACCTTGAAGTGGCTAGCATCCCACTTGAGTGCTATTTCCAAGTTGTATCCACCATGGCTAGGACATCCAGCCTCACCATCTGGTTTGGGAATTTTTGATTCATGGGAAGCTATGGATGACAAAGAAGAACCAATTGACACCTGACTGATCTGCTCTGCAGAAAATGAAACAGCCTTGGCAACTTTGGGAGTAGGCATGCTAGAAAGTATGGGTGTCACTGCATGAGATGGGGTAGTGAACACATGCAAAGGAGTTGCAGTTCGCCTTGGGAGACTATGAGGGAAGAAAACAATTTCTTCTTGCCAAGATATCGAGATTGATGTTATAGTTGGACAAAACATCTCTGTGTGATACATCAATAATGGGAGGGCTTGGGGAGGACCTTCAGGCTCATAAAAAGGAGTGACAGGCACAGAGGGTGAATGCATGACTGACCTGATATCCAACTGAGCTGAGAAGACATTTTTATATGGGTGGTTAGCTCAGGTGTTGATCAGATGCCTACCAGGATAATGTTGTTAGGCAGGATGTCATTATTGATTGTCTTCCAGTTTGTTATGGACCTAATTGTGTCAGTCAGTCAATATAAGTTCTTCAAGATAATGATGGATAGACCCACTTTATTGCCTCCAATGTTTTTACTCCCCACCAGTCATTCCAACAATTATTGTCTCGAAGGGCGCCTTGTTGGGCATACAAATGCCATCAATTGCTTAGCGGTCTCTCGCAATGGCTATATGTTAGCAAGTGGGGGTGAGTTTGATATGCATGATGAAGTAGGACTTGACTTATTACATACCAGGATCTGACAGAATGAGGATTTGGGACCTTAAAAGGCAAGCTCAGCTCCCAATCCCACCTCAAACCCCAGCCATTCAAAACCCAGCAGATCTGGTAACTTGCACATGTTGGATTACCTGCCATGAGGCAATGCAGGAGACATTATGTTATGGCACAGGACTCAGTTTCATAGGAATCTGGCAGCAGCAGGGGGAAGGTTTGCAGGACTTTGATGCAAAATATCAAGGAGGGTTGGAACAGGTAAGGAGATCATGTGTCTTACATGTGATCATACCAGGAACAACACTCAAATTGCGAGTGAGATGTGCAACAGATGCATTCAAGTTTGGATGTTTGACTTCAAGGGACCGTTGATACTGATTTTCAGCATCAAGCTTGCTACTACCATTCCACACACCATAAATTTCAACTGTGCTGCAAGTAGAAACATATTGGTCTTCAGCATGTATGATGGAGAGATGTAAGTGTTCACACATACCTGATTACTGTGCATCTAATGTCCCATGGGCCATTCTAGACATACACTTAGGGGCACAGATGGTGCCATCATCACTACAAACAACGCTGGGCCATTAATGTAAGTGATATTTACATCAATCATTGATAATCACTTACCATGTCACTACAGTGGGCATGCTTCTGTAGATGCAGGCCAAACACTGTTCCTGATGGACAATGTTGTGAATGGATTCAGCTTACATTGCCTGGATGATGCAGTGTGTATCCACACCTATAACACCAACCCAGTCAAGACATTTCCGAAGCAGGTTGTTTTTGGGGGGAAGGCTACCCTTGTAGTTGGGGGTAGTGACACAGGAGTTATTTATGTTTTTGATAAAAATGAAGGAACACTGAAACAAATCTTGCAACATGCCGATACAGGCTGAGTACAAACTGTGACAGTGCACTATTTACTTGAAATAAGAATTTTGATCTGACAGACAAATGTAAGACATATGATGGCATACACCACAGCCTGATCTTTGGAGCAACGTCTGTAAATGATGTGGAACCAACCATCTCCATCTGGTGTCACAAACAAGACAGTGTTGCAAAGTCAGCAGATGACCACTCTCTATCAGTGCTGAAGAACTTCATATAGGGAATAGTCCAGCTAGTTATCGCAATGGGGATAATAGCGTGTGTGAGTACTATTGTCAGAGACAAGACAAGCTGACCCACTAGGCTGTAGGTCCTCGGGCAATACAAAACATTATCATTGGCATCGCTGGGAAATGTCTGGCAGGAATATTCAAAGTTCGGGGATCAACTGCAGGACCTGCCAGATGATGTCCATCTCTTACTAGAGAAATATATCAAGGATCAGAGGGGCGGAGTCCTTGAGAGGCTGGTGGATAATGGGAAACATGACAAACACATCAAGTCCATCATACTGGGACATGAAAAGTTGCATGATGATTCTAAGGACATGCATGCTGTGATTCTTCTTGGAAGTTAGATAGATTCTGATATGATGAAAGAATCTATGCACAGTGTATCAATTCAAATCGATAATTAGGCACACATCAATATGACAATTCGTAGGCACCATCTGTCCAGGCTTAAACCCCTATCATTAACAGCATTTGTATTTTAGTTACTCTTACTGGGGACCGTCAAAGTCTAAAAGCATAACTATATCAAACTTTATTCTCAAAGTACAATGCTATGGTGCACAAAGTCTAGTACTTAAGTCGGATTCAAAGTAACATTCAACTACATAGTGAGAGTGTTGAAATGGTGGTGAAGTCAAAAAGAAAGAAATGTTTATGACAGATGCAGGTTAATATACGGAATGACTATGAGATTCAATCTCAGCCCAAAATCATACTCAGTGCCCATGGCCAGCTGGGTTTGAACTTGTAGTTGTTCTGTATATCAAGGGCATGTCCTTTAATCACAATTCCCTTTCCAAACTCATAATGCAAGTGACAGAATAAGATAGAAATTCATTTCTTGTATTAAGCACTACTTTACAATTACTGTTGTCGTGTACACTAGTTACTGGTACATGTGGGCAGGACTTTTGTTCTACTAGGTCTTAGCATAAAACATTGGAGGGACCACAATGTTGTCTCTGCGATTGTCCTGCATTTGCTAAGTGCTTCCACATTAAGTCGTTCACTATAAATATGGTTCCTGCACATTATCATCTCTTCTTTCCATGACCCACTACTCAATACACCTATAGATAGACAGACATACATAGGCCGTAGTCTTTAGGATAGATAGAATACAGAATCAAGCACTTGCACTGTAAGCATTCCTGTTGCAACAGGATTATGGATATGTTCAAGTAATTGATGTCAACTACAGGATGTCCAAATGCGCGGCATCCGAGTCTCATGATGACGAACCTACCTCGAAATGCATCAGGAATCATGAAGGTTAGTTGTTGCATCATGTCATCTGTATTTATTCTAATGCGGATAACAGGAACGAGAGCACCATCACTGCTGGCAGATCATGGCACATGGCACATTCTGGAACAGTACCTCACTACTGAGATGACCTACCCTCAGATGGAGGCGGCCTTTGCCTCGTACTTGGGCAATCAATACAACACAGATGATTGGAAAGAAGCTCATGATGTGTTGTTCTCTGGTGACAATGATAACTGCCTTGCCTTAGCAAATCTTCTTGCCTTGAAGGCCAGGCATGTACCCTAGGGCACCTCCAGTACATCAACAGTCGTTACCCTGTGGAAAGATTCTGCCATATCTGTGTCTGCCCTGAAGGCAGCCATTCGCTCAAAAAGCACATGTGTCCGAAGAGTAAGAAATATATTTGTTTTATTATGACATCTATACTAAATAATACATGTAGCCAAAACATCCCTTTATTGATGATGAGGCATCTGATGATGATGATGATGAGGAGGAGGAGGCAGAGGAGGAAAACTCGCAGGTGGATGGCGATGATGGCCCTTCTATGCGGTCATTGAACATTACATGCTTGCAAGGACCTTTGTCAGCCAAGGATAGGCTATCCACAGTGATCAATCACATCTCCAACAGGTATGAGAATGCCCCAAGCACCTGTCATAGAGTGGTCCCATCCTCCAGTGCTGTCCCAAGCAGGATGTACCTTCTCCATGTTCACAGTGAGTGCATATTTTAATGACCTAGCATTGCACTGAATGTATCCCAGGATCTGCTATGCAATGTGTTGCTGAACATCTCAGGAGCAATGGTATTGCAGTTACCATATCACCTTGGATACCAAGCCAGCTCTATGCTGTCTCAGATAGCCCTAGAACGATTGTGACATCACTTAAATTACTCTCTTCCTCTGTGAAAGATTATACTCACATCTTGGAGGAAGAATGAGCAGCAGTCGAACATTCACACTCTACACTTCCCAACCCCAGGTGGGTGAAGATCACACAGGGAAAATATAAGGGCAACATTGGCTATGTCTTCGACCCCAAACAATCAAACAACTTCATTTCAGTATTAATTCCCCCACACAACTTCCCCTATGACATGCCTAAGAGATCTGTGGTGCTGCTCGACCAAGCTTGCCTGCTGAATGACAAGACAGTGTCTGACATTCTTCAGGATGATAAAGTTGTGGGATGGTTGTACAAAGGAGAATGATACTACATGGGACTTTTGCTGAAGAACTTTTGCTGCGACAGTCTGGAGCTGGTCGCCTCCCCTCATACTAATGACATTCAACTACATCTCCAGTCTGGATGGGATGTACCTTTCTTCAAAAAAACTCTGAAGATCTTTTCACTGCAGTTCTTGTGCATTGGCGATTCAGCCAGGTCTATCACAGGAGAAGTCTGTCAAGAAATTTGCACGGTCATTTCAACAAACCATGCATCTGGCTCCACATGCTTAAAGTTCCTCCTCAATGGACATGGACAAGAACTGGAATTTCAACTCCAGGACATTGAGCGTGTCTTTTGGATTGGCAACACAGTTCGAGTCGTAGTGGGTGCTTACACAGGTCTGGAAGGGCATATCATTAAGAAGTCTGAGGACTTGTTTCACATGTGTCAAGAAGCCACCAATGAAGAGGTATGGGTAAATAGAACATTTTGTAAGCCTGTCTGACATTACATAGGTGGAAGTATCAAAGTACTATCTAGATCGTCATCCTCTAACTCACGTTTTTCAATCCCAGCTGCCAATGCAGCCAGATTTCGACCCTCTCCCTGAGCCCGAATCTTTTCAAATTGGGGATGAGATAGAAGTATGTGTGGGAGAGTACATGGGGAAATGCAGGATTGTGGTGTGGTTTCCTGTTGGGGGGACTACACTGTGGTTCTGTGCTGTGGGCAATATTGAGGATGAGTTGATCAACGCCCCCACAGCATTTGTACAGCACATTCGTCCCTTCAAGACTCTCCAATTTACCAAGGAAAGGCGTTATGATGTTAAGCCTGGAGACATCATGACTGTCACCCATGGGCCAGAGTTCCAGACAAAAGGAGTGGTGCAAGCCGTGGACTTTTCAAATGTGCACCTGACCCTGATTTCTGAGGGCGATTATTCACTTGTAAGTACTACTCTCCTCATATCATGCGTCTCTAATATATGACAGGTCAATGTTCCTATTGGATTTGCAATGAAAATATCTAACATGAATCCAGATTCATTTTGTGACATCATCGGTAAAGAAGTCTTCATTATCAGAGGTGCATGGAAGGGCTACCAAGCCATGCTATACCAACTTGCTCATGATACCTGCTCCATTTCTGTGCATGGGCAAGCACACACTATGGTTAAATGTGAGGACGTTGCTACTAGGTAATTACATTGTATATTGTTGTATTAATTTTTATTCACAACTATCTAAGATGTGGAATGAGGCTAAACAGTGCAATACTCAAAGGTCCTGACATGATCTCTTTCTGCGAGATGCAGAAGAAATCATATATTATGCTGCCAAGTCAAAGCAAGACCCCCCCCACCTGATCCCATAGTCCCATCCAGTTCGAGTATGGATCCCAGCTCCAGCAAGTGGTCCAACTGGTCCAGCAATGATTTGACAGATAGCCTTTCTGCTGGTGTCAAGACATACAATCCCTGGGTTGCTAATAATGCAGAGGATATCAAGGACACCATCGCAGATATAAAGGAGAAGTCCCGAAACAGCAGTGAGTCTTTAACATAGACTTATTAACATTTAGCTTATTTCATTACAGGCCCATTACCTTGGTTGATGAACAAAGAGTTTGTGCTGAAGTTGAGTCATCATCATGCAGTGCCCAAAGTATCACCAAGTTTCATGGGGGGCAGACTGCATAAACACTTCATATCTACAGCTTGTCCTGACCCATTCTGCAGTGAGAATGGACCCACACCTGATGGCTGCATCACAGTGTTTTGTACATCCAATGGTGCCAGAGCCACACTTCAGCACTATCATATCCCTGTCAGTGATCTAACTCCAGCTCCACCATGCAAAAAAAACCAAAAGTGTCTTGTCCTGGATGGTGACACTTGTGGTGAGATCATGACTGTCGTGAAGTGCAACATGAAGAAGAATACTGTTGAGATTGTGATTACTAATAGGATTAGCTTCACTTTGCAGTTCGATCAGATATGCCTTGTGGAGGAAAATAGATTCTGATAGACACTTATATCATTCTCTCGCAGACTCCCTGTACTCTACAATATATACCCATCATACTCTCACAGACTCCCTGTACTCTATACCCAACATAAATACCCAATGAACGAGTGCCTGATGAATGCCTGATGAGTGCCCACATCATTTTTCTCATGTTAAAAGTTCACATTTTACATGCCCCATTTTAATTTGCAAAAAATTTGAATATGCTGCAATCGGAAAATGTCCCTAGTTACATGATATTTTGAGGAAAACTTTCCTGTACTCAAAATTTTGTAATTTATGGCACTCAAAATGGTACATGAAATGCTTGGGATTTTGGCACACCTCGAAATTTTTTATCTTTACTGGGTCAAAATATATGGTAAAAATGCCAACTTTATCACTGACATTTTGAAACCAATCTTGCACAGTTAAAAACTACAAAACCGCCCGTGTGTGAGAAAGACTTTGGTTGACCGCATTTTTGCTTATATAAGCAGTGCCAAACAAAGCCACATGATGTGGCTGGCAGAGACTTAGTGAATTTTCGCATTCTTGCTTATGTAAATAAGTTGTGCCTTAACTTTCTTGAACCCACCACTTTCTAGTATTTTGCTTATAACTTATTGGGATCTTAACTGAAAAATGTCATGAGACCATGGATAGGCTCCACTTCATAAGGGCTACAACTATCATTTTGGTCAAAAATTTAAGTCTCTGTACAGTATGTACAAGCTTACTCAAACAAGAGGAATATGTGAAACCTTGTGATGCTTGTAAAACCCTGTGAGTGCTTGTAAGGCCTGTGAGGCCTGTTGTGAGAACAGGCAAGTGAATGATGGGAGAGGGAGCTAGAACACAAAGGTACGATCTCAGTTTCAACTAGAACTCATATTAATGTGTATAGTACCTAGAACACAAAGGTACACTACGGTTTTGGTCAGTAAATGCTGACATACATGTTTCCAAGTACTCACATCTCAGTTTCAACTAGAACTGAGATGGGCACGTCTGATGGGTGCTTGGTTTTATAGGAAGGTAAGTAAGGAATGCAAAGGTGAAGTTTTCTGACATATGTATATTGCAGGGTGCAAGCCAATGTCATTTGGGCACAGCCTATTGGCCCATCTGCCTCATGCGCTTGGACCTCTCTCTCTCGCTCATACCTATCATGTTGGATCCTTTGGCTTCCTCACTCTCTTTCTCTTCGGATCGTTTGGACTTCAACAAGGCCTGTGGTGAAAATCCTAGTTTGCTGATAAAGGCCAGTTTCTTTGAGAGTGGTATGAATGTCCCAACACATGTATATGCATTTCTGTTCATGCAACCAGTGACTAGCACCTGTCCATCAGGGGAAAGGGCTGCGGAGTCTAGCGAATCATTTTCGTGCTGGAGGGGTGTGTTGCGAGAACAGGCGAGTGAACAACGGGAGAGGGAGCTAGAACACAAAGGTACGATCTCAGTTTCAACTAGAACTCATATTAACGTGTATAGTACCTAGAACACAAAGGTATGCTACAGTTTTGGTCAATAATTGCTGACATACATGTTTCCAAGTACTCACATCTCAGTTTCAACTAGAACTGAGATGTGTGCGTCTGATGGGTGCTTGGTTTTATAGGAAGGTAAGTAAGGAATGCAAAGGTGAAGTTTTCTGACATATGTATATTGCAGGGCGCAAGCCAATGTCATTTGGGCGCAGCCTATTGGCCTGTCTGCCTCATGCGCTTGGACCTCTCTCGCTCGCTCGTACCTATCATGTCGGATCCTTCGGCTTCCTCACTCTCTTTCTCTTTGGATCATTCAGACTTCAACACTCCCCCTCGAGCGCATGCCAGACCCATGTGGGTGTGTAGCTTTTGTAGCCGGGGGCGGGGCAATGCCTTGGTGAATGTGTCAGCGATGTTATTGTCCATGGGGCAGTAGGGGAGCTCAAAGGTGCCATTTTTCACATGTGAGCGGATGAAGTGGTACCTCAAGTCGATATGCTTTGTACGTGATTGAAATTTTCTGGTAGACACTAACACTATAGCAGCTTGGTTATTGCAGAATATGGGGGTGGGGAGGCTTGGTGGTTCATAGAGTTTGCCAAGGAGTAGTTGAAGGTACAGTATTTCCTTTGCTACACTGGTGAGAGCAATGTACTCAGCTTCTGCCGTGGATAGGGCAATTATGGGCTGCTTTCTTGCACTCCAGGACACTGGGCCTCCATTGAGGGGTACTATGTACCCACTCATGGAGTGCCTGTGTGGCTGTGAAGCCCAATCTGCGTCAACAAACGCTTCGATCCCAGCATCTGTAGATCCCAAGGTGAGCTTGAAGTCATCAGTGGCTTTTAGGTAGCGAAGAGCTCACTTACTAGCCTCCCAGTGTGCCCTTCCAGGGTTTTGCATGAACTGCAACAATGTTGTTACTGCAAAGGCGATATCAGGACATGTGCTCGTCGCCACATACATCAATGAGCCGATGGCTCGTTGATAAGGTATGTCTCACATGGCGGCTAGCTCTGCATGCATTCCAGGGGACTGATCTATGGACAGGGAGGTGGCCAGTTCCATGGGGGTCTGGATGGTCTTAGCGTCCCCCAGATGAAAACGCTCAATGATTGTGTCGACGTAGGCCTTTTGAGAAAGGGTAATGGTGTGTCCCACTCTATCTCTTGTTACCTTTAGCCCTAATAACCATGATAGCTTGCCCAGGTTGGATATCTTGAAGAATTCACCAAGTTTTGACTTGAATCAGAGAATGTGGGACTTGTGATTGGCAGTGATGGCCATGTCATCAACCGACACGGTGATGACGATGTGCTCTTTGGGGGTATGTTTGAAATATACCACTTGATCGACCTGGGAGCAGCTAAAACCCATCTTCAGAAATGCTCCAGCTAGTTCCTCTGCCCACTCAAAACCTGCCTGCTTCAAGCCAGGCAAGCTGTGCTTTAGCTTTAGTACCTTTCTCTCCTGACTGTCCTTCAGATATCCTGGTGGCGCCCTCATATACAGTGGCTCAAAAAACTGTCCACATGTTTTTGCATTTTTTACTATTTACAATATTGTGTGAGAATACATAAAGACCTCAGTGACATGCTGATACCATATTGTAGTGCTGCTTCAGGGCTTTGGATTGAGCACCACATTGTGAGAATCAGAGGAGATATGGTGGAGATACAAGGCTTACAAAATCATGACTCATGTGGACAGTTTTTTGAGCACATATTAAAACTATATAAATCATCATTTATGACACCATAGCAATCATGCCACCATTAAATAAATTATAAAGTGGTGTCATTATGTCATTTTAAAACCATATCTAACTATACAAACCAAAAATTTCCATATGTCATGGTTATATTTACCATGAAAGCCACTCCCCCTGCTCAAAGGGATAATATCCTCTCTCTTTCCTATTCTGGCCTCTCTGCTTGTCAAATTTCCTCTAGAACTGGAGTATCCAAGTCCACTGTGGCCAAGTTCATCAAAGAAAGTCACACAGACAAGGAAAACTTCTGTGAAGGGTGTCCATCCAAGCTCACCTCTACTGATAGGAGGGCCATTATTCAACATATCACTACAGGAAAGGCTGATAATGCTGTCCAGGTCACCTATTACATCAATTCCACCATCACATTCCCTGTCTCTTCACACACTGTGAGAAACATTCTCAAGACAGCTCATCTCAGGTCAGTAACAAGGAAGAAAAGGCTCTCCTCTCTATCACACATATGCAGAGAGGACTAGCACCCTTCTTTTTTCACATATATACCTTGCCATCTGACCCAATCCTATTTATTGTGGTCTTATATGATCATATAACATGCTTCCAGTCCATGTAATCCAATTCTGATGGGCTAATGCAAAGGTCAGTCATCTCTGTTTATGTGTGATAGAGAGGAGAGCCTTTTCTTCCTTGTTACTGACCTGAGATGAGCTGTCTTGAGAATGTTTCTCACAGTGTGTGAAGAGACAGGGAATGTGATGGTGGAATTGATGTAATAGGTGACCTGGACAGCATTATCAGCCTTTCCTGTAGTGATATGTTGAATAATGGCCCTCCTATCAGTAGAGGTGAGCTTGGATGGACACCCTTCACAGAAGTTTTCCTTGTCTGTGTGACTTTCTTTGATGAACTTGGCCATAGTGGACTTGCATACTCCAGTTCTAGAGGAAATTTGGTGAGCAGAGAGGCCAGCATAAGACAGAGAGAGAATATTATCTCTTTGAGCAGAGGAGATGGCTTTCATGGTGATTATGACTATGATACATGAGATATTCTGGTTTATATAGTTGGATATAGTCATAAAATAACATAATGACACCACTTCATAATTTATATAATAGTGGCATGATTTTTGTGGTGTCATAAATAATGATTTATATAGTTTTAATATACACTCAAAAAACTGTCTACATGAGTCATCATTTTATAAGCCTTATGTCTCCACCATATCTCCACCGATTCCCACGGTGTAGGGCTCAAATGAAAGCCCTGAAGCCATACTACAATGTGGTATAAGCATGTCCTTGATGCATTTGTTCGTTCTCACACAATATTATAGATAGTGAAAAATGTCAAAACATACGAATGGTTTTTTGAGCCACTGTACATAAGACCCTTAAGTAGTAGGACAGCAGTGTGAGTAACACAACTTGGCTAGATACTTGGTAAAGTACCTAGCCAATATGTTGGGTCTAAAGTGCTGTACCTAGCTGCTATTCAACCCACAAGGGTTTCTGTACTAGACTCAGAGCTCAGAGAGGAGAAGAAATCATCATAAAACTGCTAGTCTCAGACTACAGGTAAAGAGTGAAAGGTAAGAGGTGATGCTTATATAAGCTGCAAAAATGCAAACATAAGCTAAAGAAAGTGGGGGTAGGTAAAGGTAATGAAAGTAAGTAAATCTAAGCCCAAAGAAAACTTGACTGTCACAGCAGTATCAGAGACCAAACCAACATAAACTTGCTCCTTACCTCCTGGGGCCTGCCTGTTCAGGGCCAAAGAGCCAGCTGGTTACCAAAATTAATAACAAACATGTTAAAAACAGCACACAAATATAAAGTAAGCTTTACCTGTAAAACTATCAGAACAACTTAAGCTCCAGATGCCTGCATGATGCCACCTTGGTACCCCACCAAAAACATACCACAAGGCGAAGGACAGTTGCTTAAGATCTACACACAAAGTTGAATCAATAAAAGACCTCCATGCAACAGCAGCAAGACTGACAAATGCTGGCACTCACTCTACAATGGCAACATGCATCCATGATGCCTGTGTCAAGAACAGACTAGTAGGCTGCAAGAACCCAAATAGATGCGCCCAGACCACACAACACATCCTAAACAACATAAACCCACTATTTAACCCTAACACATAGAAGACTCAAGAAGAACACACAGATGAGGACTCACCAATGGGGGAAAATCCTTTTTGACCCCTCTGTCACATCAAAGAACCACTTATCTGAATGTTTCCAAATATTCACTCACCCTGAATGCCTCATCCAAATACCCACATGCCACCTCTGCACCCCAATAGCAGGTTGTGACACATTGAGAGAGCAACTGATTATTGTAGAGAATGAGATTCCTCCAGGCATAGATCATGCATATTTCAACTCACTGTTAAGAACCATGCTCAAGGGAGAGAGACTGACTTAGAGGGGCTTGGCCTTAGCTCATATGCTGTGCCCCTTACCCAAGTATGTGCCCTTCATTTCAGAGGAAGTCTGATGAAGGTCTGATGAAGTCCAAAGGACTTCCAGAGGAGCACAGGAAATGTCCAGAGGAGTGCAGGAGAGTTCTGGAGGAATGCAGGAAGTGCTCAGGACAGTTCCCACTGCAAGGTAATACTTCTACAGAAAACAGGATGGAACAATAGGAGGTCTGGAGGTCTGGAGTATGGAGGACAGGAGGACTGAAGGTCCAGAGGTCCAGAGTATGGAGAACAGAAGGACTGAAGGTCTGGAGGTCCAGAGGACAGGATGTCCGAGGGTTAGGAGGGTGGGACGTCTGAAGGTATGGAGGGCAGAACATCCAAAGGACAGGACACCTGGAGGTGCACAGGACAGGATGTCCGGGGGTCCAGAAGGAATAGGGGCTACATCAGACTTTGTCCGATGTAGAAGCAAACAGAGGTAGACTACCCTTAGGTAGAGTCAGAGAGACAGGAAGTGGACTAAGTCTGGAGAGAGGGTAAGTGCCGGAAAGGCAAGACTCCAGCCTAGGGAAGCAATCCCTAGACTTGGGACAGAGACATAGGGGACAAATCCGAAGGTCCAGAATTCTGGCCTAGGGAAACCATCCCTAGGCCTTATGGAAAAAGACGAGACTCAGATGGACTGAAGTCCAGAAGATGATTGGGCAGATCTAAGGTGATGAGGACAGATCTAAGATGATATTCAGACTGAGGACTCTACAGGAGTTATACAGGGGTTATATACTAGAGGATATCCGAGAGGATCAGTAAGCAATGGAGTAAGGCTATGTACGAGCATGTGGAAACACATTGGTAAGTAAGACAGAACATAACTACATGAACTTGGAGATGAAGATTCATACAAGGATCAATCAGCAAGACAGAGACAGAGATAACTAAGAACCAGTGTGACGATCATGTTCAGGCTGGCCTGCTAGGACCCCATTCTGCAATCCCTAGCCAGTCCACACATCTCCTACCAATCTCTGACATTTTCCTGCCATCTCTGCATCTCTGACACATCAGACCCACTTGGAGATCTTGTGCACTCATCCTACCATGTCCAGTCTAGTCCTGCTTAACCCCACTGGTGCATAGTCAGTTATTTCCTATTACTGATTGAGTAGACAGTGTTATGACATGGATTCCCACTGGCTGCAGTACCTCATGGCCTTTTACCTACATATCATCAGACCCACATTTTTGCTACTGCTTTCACCTATGGACTTTGGATTTTCACATAGCTAGTTATATATGGTTGGGCAACCAGAATTACAACCACCACTTAGTAGGAGGGAGAAATCCCCAATACTGGTCACCACATACCTGTCCTTAGAGTTACCCTTGCCAATATACCTGTTTACCCGCTCTCCTTGACCCAACATGAGTGTCACTCATTCAT